CTAACGTATCCTTCCATATAGGCGAATCAGACTAAGAAAGCACTTTTCAAAGACGCGTCTGACTATTTGCGTAAGCGTGATGGGGCGGAAGTCGGCGGGGGAGGTGATATCTGCATCGGCTTTCTTTGGGTGCGCTGTCAGGAGGCCGCAGTTCAGGGCTGCGGGGAGGGTACCCGCCTTCAGTAGCTCAGTGAATGCTTCGGCAAGGAGTCTAATCAGTGGGCTATTGGCGTCGGGGCGTCCTGGATAATATTATTTATTTCAAAGGAGTTAAGTTGCAATGTTTGTACATTTGGTATGGCTCTCATAGCCGTTGTAGTGGACAACTTATTGAGTGCACATTTTCAAAATTGATAATTGATTTGTCCCAAATAAAAGTTATAACCTATTTATCATAAAGTTACCGTTAAAAATCCAATGTTTACCTCGTACACGTCTAACTTATTGACGTTAGCCTGAGAGTCCTTCCAAACTTCGTCATAAGAGTCTTTTTTGATTTTTTAAAAATATATAAAAAACCAATCAAAACAGTTCACAAGACAGAAAAGTACATACTGTAAATAGACTGTATTATAAATAAAAGATGTGTGTGTATTTATTTATTATTGTTGCTGCATATTGTTGCTGTTTTTTGTATTGTTTTTGGAAAACAACAACAACAGAAACAAATACAAAAAGCGACAATATGTAGTCAATATTTACAATACGTATTCTTTAAAAAATAGTGAACACAGAGAGCAAATTGCGAACTGTGAGTCTGTGATTATTTAACTGTGACCTGTGAATAACTCAACAATTGTCAACACAAAGAGTCAACAACAGCAACTCATTTCTGATGTATCCAGTCTCTGACTGTATAAAATATAAATACGTTTCGAGGCCTTTTCCTATTTTTATACTAGGCTTGGATTGCATTGGAGTGAAATGCAATGAACTAAACTGAATTGTATTGCTTTGGTACGAATTTGGTTCAATATAATTGCAATGAATTATAAAGTAGAAGCGGATTGAAAATTCCTATTGCATATATATGAGACGATTAGTATAGAATAGAATAGAATAGAATCATTCCTAGTTTGACTGTAGCGAACATCCGACTTGAATTGAGTTGAATTGGTATTGTATTAAATTGAATTGTATTCAAATTGAATTGAATTGAATTGTATTCAAATTTAATTCAATGAAGTTAAATATAATAGAAGTAGGAATTGGGAAATAAAACCATGAATTGATTTCAAAAATGAGCTGAATCGATTCATTTCTTTAAAAATTGGCAAACTAACTACACAGTGTCGTGTTTTCGGTTAGAAATCATGACAAAATTTTGCGAAGACGATGCACCTATCTGGAAATGATGTGGAAGTGCCGCCTATGAAGCCGAAAACAGAACTTTCATATATGCACGGCACCTAAGACTAATATTTCTATCGCTGAAAACTTATATTACAAATCTTTATATGAAAAACAAGACATTTTTCTTGTTGTAGTTCGGAGCCCCGTCTCCATTGTATCAGGCAGGCTTGCTGAACTTTATTTATCCTCTTATACGACCGGTGACATAGGTCTCCAGACGCCAAAGGACATGATTAAACCAAAGGGCTGCGACCAAGTGCTCACAGAGCTATGATTTATCTGTTATCTCCTACATTTCATAGTCCAAAAATGAAACTACGTTTAAATAGGGCTGATCAATGACTTTCTTCTATCTAATCACCGTCGTCGACTCTCTTACTATATGGGGAAAAGGCTGATATTGTTTTCCAAACAATTGTGCGCACATTCCCAGCTTTCGGTGCATCACTCAGATAGCTAACAATACAAAGCGACACACTATTCGCATGTAAATGGAAGTGTATTGCATCGAGGAGTATTTGTGCGCGATCTTAGAAAAAAACAACAGAAGCTTTTTTTCTCGAATCGACCTGTCGAGGAACAATCCATTTGACCACAAATTATTCAAGATTTGATGTACATTTTTGGATGCGTATCGTAGCGGCCTGCCAATAAAGCAACTGCCCCCTAATACACAACGCCTCTTCTTAGGGTGTAGGTCATATCACTAGTACTGTACCGCATTGCTGCTAACTAGCACGCACGCACGCACGCACGCACGCACGATCACCTTAAAGGAAAGATTATAAAACAACACTTGAGCATCAAGAGCGGTTCAACGATGTTCCCAGTTCGCTCAAGAAGCACTTGATAACATCCCTACCCTTCTCTACATTGTTGACCGATATCCTTTCATTGGGAAGATGGGCGCCATCGCTTGACTGTAATATTCGGAATGTATGACGATTCAAGGTGTTAGTGGATGAGTATGTAGAGCGTATGGTATATAGACACTGCCAGTTTGTGTTGCAGTACCGATGAGGTCGATCTGGAGTGACAAATGCAAGAGAGTAATACGTGAATTCTAATGCACATTCTCGAAATCAACTGCTAGGACTCCAAAGTCAGATAAATGACTGAATTGGACAATCCGAGATGTGGTGCTATCCCATATAGGAGGAATTTAGGTGCCAGTTGTGCGACTCAATATTGATTAGTTGGCGTATGGAACTAGCAATTGAAAGCAATTAAAAAAAGTATAAATGACTCCAAAGCTGCGAAGCTATTACTACTGGATATTCATTCCTTTTAATCTCTGACCTCTTTATAGAATAGTCACAGACGCAAACTTAGATATATACATATATGATTACTTATCACGTCGTCTCACAACTACAAGTGCAAAGTAACATATTTTAAGTTGCATAGTCTAAGCCACACATGCTACAACCACAACCACCGGCGAACTCCCATAATCAGATACGAACACATCTCAAGTCCCTTGAATCAATACTTGCAACGACCAACAGAATCGATTACAGATATGTATACCTGACCCAAGGGTAAGTGAAGTGCCGGGGCATTGAGATACTTCTCCAATACAGCCGTCACCGACATGGTACCCCCTTCTCGTACGTAGAAAGGCTTTGTCTTCCAGACCGTTTCTATCGCCTTTTCCGCGGATTTGTATATAGCATTGAACGGGTCGCCTGCGAGATATAGTACGATTTCAGTATCACGGCCGCGCAAGCAGTACATGCCTGTGTATGTATCGATATGAATCTGTCTGTGCATATGTAGCAATTAATAACAACTACCGAACAAATACATAAATTTGCCTGTGTATGTATCGATGTGTCTGTCTGTGCATATGTATCAATTAACAACAACTACCGAACAAATACGTGAATTTTTGTGACCACAATTTATCTCGAAAATAGATCCAGTTCACCAAATTCAAACTAATAAGGCGCATGTATAATTTACACGATCACTTAAGCAAGAGCGGACACATATATACAAGGGTACAGGGGGGGGTTGTCTTTTAACATACCCAGCCACCAATCGGCTGCATGCAGCACATTAAATTTGAGGCGATTGGGCGATCGTCGCTTCCGGAATTCGTGTGACATATGCTGTGTTAGCACCTGCACAAGCTCAGTCGACGTTTGATCCGGCACAAACCGCACACTGAACTGTCCCACAGCCCTCTTGGCGATGTTAGTAAATACGTGATCTGTAAATAGAATTTGGATTCCAGAGGTAACAACGGTTGATATCTGAACTACGCAAGCAGGGAGAACTGTGTCAATAGAAAGAACAAGAAGTCAATGTTGTTGAACGCATGGCCCCTGTATGAATATATTTCGAACTTTTGTACATGTGCAAGCAAATCATATATCCGAGTCATATACATACATAGAACAAGGACATTTAATTAAGCTTATATACATAAAAAACTATATATACATACATAGAACAAGGACATATAAAACTATACATACGTACATCGAACAATTGCATTTAATTAAACTTATAATCATATAAACAATATATACGTACAAAGAACAAGGGCATTTAATAAACTTATATACATATAAAACTATATATACGTACAAAGAACAAGGGCATTTAACTAAACTTATATACATATAAAACTATATATATATGTACAAAGAACAAGGGCAATTAATTAAACTTATATACATATAAAACTATATATATGTACAAAGAACAAGGGCATTTAATTAAACTTATATACATATACAACTATATATACGTCACAGCATACCTCCGGATGAGGTCCGCACCCCGGTTATTGAAAGCGCTGGATGGCGCCAACGAGCCATCAGAATGCCCTGAATTTGTGTAGTAGTCCCAGTTTTAGTATGCCGGACTGAACCAGCAGGTAATACGGCACAATGTTCACACTCACCTTAGGTACCGGCGCTACAAATTGTACATTTACATTCCATAAATAAAAGCAAAATATGTCATGTTTTCATTGTACATTAATATAGACTTATAGAATCGCACAGGAAGCATTCAGTTCGATTCAGACATTAATTGTCTCTGCCAACAGTTCACCCGTGATCATGAAGGCGAGTCGTATGCAAGGTACAGATACAAAGTCTAAGCGAGGAAATGCAGAAGATTCATACAGAAAACAAAAGGTGAGATATATTCGTCGTATTCTCACTTGTGAGCGGAATGTCATGTGCTTTGCTGAGTAAACTGTTATATCAGGCGTATATAACAAGTACAAGTTGTCAAATAACATGTATACAAAGATATCTCACCCGGCTGCCTGTGACCAAAATTTACACCTCTGAGAAAGAATAAGCATACATTTCTCGCGTGCCTATGTGAACGTTTAAAAAAGGAACGTATAGCGGGGGTGTTGGGATGCACAAGTATTTTAAACAAAATCACTACCGTAGGCGAGTTGGACAAAAAAACGAATCATACAAATCACATACAGTCGGGGTGTTAGATTCGTTGACGGAGAACTCCTCAATCTCTAAGTGTGCACGGTAAGCATCCAAGTCAAAGACAATGTCTTCGTACAACTCAAGCTCCGCCGGACTGAAGTACGATATATACAGAACGACAGATTAGTTCGATTTACTGTATCGCATGATGTGTCTATAGTCTACCAAACCATAGCCACTCAGTGTTAAAATCGAGAGCCAGAATACAATGCAGTTTTACAATAAGACGACGTAGCTGGAGTTCAAGGCATCTGCAGCATGTGAATTATTATAGTCTGCTATTCTACAAAAAAGGCGAAGATCGCCTTTGGAATGTGGCTAACACAAAGGCAAGGACAGCTGAAGATAAAGGTACATGCGTTCATGCATGAACCATCTGTAGAACCATCTGTAGCCCTCTAACCCATTCCAAAAGGCAAAGAATAGCTAGAGATAAAGGTATATGCGTTCATGCATGAACCATCTGTAGCCCTCTAACCCATTCCAAACAGGCAAAGAATGGCTAAA